ATGGCGGTCTCTCATTCATAGGTTCAACCCTCGATGGGGTTTCTTGTCTAAAGGGCAACTAAAAAGTTAAATGTAGAACATTCACTTATATGTTCTGGTGCAGCTTCTTTTGAAGGCATCATTGGTGAATCATATGAGGAAGCGTCAGATATGAGACAGATGGCTTCAGTTGATATCAGCTCCTCTTTTGCAAGGAATAATATGGAGGCAGGAAATAAAAGATGAAACTGAGATGCATCCTGTTTGTTCCATATATTTATGCAGTTGCCCAGACAGAAATGTTGTTCCCCATACTGAGTGAAGCAGTGAATTCCAGTTTGTTGTTGTTGTAGGCTGTCAAGTCCTGTCCCACCTATGGCAACTCTTAAGATGAACCTGCCATGGATTTTCTAGGCAAGATTTGTTCAGAGAGGCTTTGCAATTGCCATCTGTCAAGGCTGAGAGAGTGTGACTTGTCCTAGATGGTTTCATGGGCGAGCGGGAAATCGCACTCTGGTCTCCAAAATTGTAGTCCACAGCAAAGAGTTTGCTCTTCTTGTTACTTACCATCAAATCAACGTAGCCTTATGGTGACCCTATGAATAGGAGACCTCTGTGCCTCCCTCTTATCAACAGCTCTGCTCAGGTCTTGCAAATTCAGGTTGTGCTTTCCTTGACTGAGTCTTTCCACCTCTCTTCCCCTTTTCCTACTGTCTTCTATCTTACCAAACATTATTGTCTTCTCTAATGAGCCATGTCTTCTCAAGCTGGTATTGTGTAGAGCAGGGGTTCCCAGGCTGGGGTGCCGGCACTCCCAGGGGATCCGAGATGGCGTTTCAAGGGATGCGACAAAGAGTGCCTTGTGTCCTTGAGGGACACGTCACGAGTCATCACTCATTTTTTTCCTGAATAAATTGGATCCTAATTGCTCAATTTAGATTTGCATTTTATAGACTGAGGTCCAAAACACAGTGCATGAGAACTGTAGTTTTGTGAGACCTTTAGCCTTCTCTATCAGAGAGCTCTGGGGCCACAATAAACTACAATTCCCAGGATTCCCTTGCACTGAGCCAGGGCAGATAAAGCAGTCTCAAATTGGATTATTTCTGCAATGTGTTTTGGACCAAGATCTTTCCCACTACCTCTTGATCCTTTCAGTTAGAGATGTCAGACGCTGAATCTAGTATCTCCTGCATAGCATATGCAGCTAGGATTGGTCACCTAATGTCATAGAATCATAGACTCATAGAGTTGGAAGAGACTACAAGGGCCATCCATTCCAATCTCCTGCCATGCAGGAAATAGCAATCAAAGCATCCCCGACAGATGGCCATCCAGCCTCTGTTTAAAGACCTCCAAAGAGGGAGACTCCACCACTCTCCAAGGGAGTGTGTTCCACTATCAAAAAGCTCTCACTGTCAGGAAGTTCCTCCTAATGTTGAGGTAGAATCGCTTTTCCTGTAGCTTTCATCTGTTGTTCTGTGTCCTGTTCTCTGTAGCAGCAGAAAAGAAGCTTGCTCCCTCCTCAATATGACATCCCTTAAAATATTTAAACAGGGCTATCATACTACCTCTTAACTGTCTCTGCTCCAGGCTAAATATAATCAGCTCCCTAAGCCGTTGCTCATAGGACATGGCTTCCAGACCCTTCACCATTTTAGTCTCCCTCCTCTGGACACGCTTCAGTTTCTCAACATCCTTTTTGAATTGTGGTGCCTAGTCTGACCAGAGCAGAATACAGTGGCACTATTACTTCCCTTGATCTGGATACTATACTTCTTTTAATGCAGCCCAAAATTGCATTGGCCTTTTTAGCTGCTACATCACACCGTTTATTCATGTCCAACTTGTGGTCTACTAGGACTCCTAGATCCCTTTCACACGTAGTCTCGTTAAGCCAGGTTCCCTCATCTTATATCTGTGCATTTCATTTTTTTTTTTTTTGGCCCTATGTGCAGTACCTTACATTTCTCAGTGTTGAAATTCATTTTGTTCGCTTTGGCCCAGCTTTCTGAGCTATTAAGGTCATTTTGAATTTCCATCCTGTCTTCAGGGGTATTAGCTCTTCCCCCTAATTTGGTGTCATCTGCAAATTTAAGAAGCATGCCCCCTTTTCCTTCATCCAAATTGTTGATAAAGATGTTGAATAGCCCTGGGCCCAGGACAGAACCCCACTGGACACCCCACTGGTCACTTCTCTCCAGGATGAAGAAGAGGAGCCATTGCTGAGCACCCTTAGGGTTCGGTCAGTCAACCAGTTACTAATCCATGTAACAGTTGTATTGTCTAGCCCATAATTTACTATCTTGTTTGCAAGAATATCATGGGAGACTTTGTCATTGGTTCACTTCTCCACATTGGCCATTGTTTCTAGTTACATTCAATAATGTTTACCTGCCCTTGAAGGATTGGCATAGGGATCAGACAAAATACAGTCAGCTCTCCATATCCACTGATGCTTTATCCATGGATTCAAGTATCCATGGCTTGAAAATAATTCCAAAAATACATAAATTCCAAAAAGCAAACCTTGATTTTGCTATTTTATATTATTTTAGATGATGATGATGATAATTTTTGAATGTAAGGAACACCATTTTCCTATGGCGTTGCATTTCATGGGACTTGAGCATCCTTGGATTTTGGTATCCACCGTGGTGGGTGGGTCCTGGAATCAAATCCCAGCAGGTCCCAAGGGCCTCTGTATATGTGAAGGAAAGTATAATGAGGTTGTTTTTGTTTTGCCAGGATGCAGTAACCTTTGAGGAAGTGGCTCTGTTCTTCAGAGAAGAAGAATGGGTTCTCTTGGATTGGAATCAGAGAGCTTTGTACTGGGAATTTATGCAAGAGAATTATGACAATTTGGTCTCCTTAGGTAAGAATCCTTTCCTTTTCATTCAATAGAAGCAGTGAAGCTGTTACCTATGCCAGCACAGGTTGTTGTTGTTGTTATTGTTGTTGCTTTGTGCCTTTGAATAGTTTCTGTCTTATGGCGACCTTAAGGCAATATTATCATAGGTTTTTCTTGGCAAGTTTCTTCAGAGGAGGTTTGCCATTGCCATCCTCTGAGAGAGTGTGACTTACCCAAGTCATCCAATGAGTTTCTTTTTTTAAAATTAAATTTTATTAATGTTAAAAATACTTATTCTTTACATATATACAATAAAAGAAATACTTCCAACATTCACTTCCTCTGTTTCTCCAGCGACATGTTCTTAATTACTCCG